CATGAGATGGATGGCCTGAGGGAAGAAACTGTTCCTGTGTCTGGTCGTTCTGGTGCTCAGAGCTCTGGAGCGTCGACCAGATGGCAACAGTTCAAAGAGGGAGTGTGCTGGATGTGAGGGGTCCAGAGTGATTCTGCCAGCCCTTTTGCTCACTCTGGACGAATACAGTTCTTGGAGAGAAGGGAGGGTTGTACCAATGATTCGCTCAGCAGTCCGGACTACCCTCTGAAGTCTTCTGAGGTCAGATTTGGCATTCATCCGAGTAAACAAGACAGATGGAAGTTGGCGAGTGAAGGACATAAAAAAATGGACTGGGGATTCTTGACGGATTCTTTTTCTTATGTGTTAGAAATGTGTTTCCATCTTTTCTATCCATTATGTACCCCATTGTAAAGAGACCGGGGTCCAGTTGGGTGAGGGAGGGATGTTGAATATGTGTGTTCAGACATCACGTAGTGTTTGTAACCGCACCGCTCTGAGTGTGTGTTGTGTTCTGCAGGGTCAGAGTCCGTATGTCAGATCCACGTACCGCTACACTCCTCTGCTGGCTCTGGTTCTGGTTCCGGGGGTTCTGCTGAGCTGGGTTCACTGCGGGAAGCTGCTGTTCGTGGGCTGTGATCTTCTGTCCGCTCTGCTGCTCTTCAGGCTGCTGGTTCTGCGCGGCTCGACCCGGAGCTCGGCGAGGGTTCTCTGCGGTCTGTGGCTGTTTAACCCGCTGACCGTAGCTGTGTCCACCCGCGGGAGCGCCGAGTCTCTGCTGGCGGCGCTGGTTCTGTCCTCACTGCTGTGTCTGGAGTCCAGGAGACGGCTGTCTGCAGCGCTGCTGTTTGGTCTGGCCGTCCACATGAAGATCTACCCGGTCACTTACGCTCTGCCCATCGCTCTGTCCCTGACCGGCGCACCGGCCCGCGGCCGAGGACTGATCCAGAACCTGATCCGGTGCGTCAGCAGGGATCTGCTGCAGTTTGCAGCCGTTTCTGGATCCGTGTTCTTCGCTCTGAACCTCATCTTCTACAGCATGTAAGTCCTTTAGACTCGAGCTTCCGCCCAAACTAGTTCTGTAGGAAATTAGTTTACTGTCACGATCGTGAATTCTCATCAAGTTCCTTCTTCATCCGTGTTTAAAAGCATGCCGTGATGCAGATCTTGTGTCTCAGACGTGCATCTGAGTTAGGGTTTGCATCACTGCACTATAACTGAGACACGCGGAGAACAGTAGTCCAGAACGAGCAGGTGTCTGTTGTTTCTTGTGTGTTGAAGGTACGGCTGGGATTTCCTGCAGGAGTCTTATCTGTATCACCTGACGCGCAGAGACATCCGTCACAACTTCTCTCCGTACTTCTACATGCTGTATGTGACGGCGGAGCATCACTGGAGCGGCGCTCTGGCGCTCGTCTGCTTTCTGCCGCAGATGCTGCTGCTGCTGCTGTCCTCGCTGGCCTTCCGCCGCGACCTGCCCTTCTGCTGCTTCATCCACACCGCCGTCTTCGTCAGCTTCAACAAAGTCTGCACTTCACAGGTGCGCACGCACGCACGCACGCGTCTCTCAGCTGTTTCTGACGGCTCCTGAAGCCTCTGCTGACCGTGTGCTGCTGTGCTTCTCTCTGCAGTATTTTCTGTGGTATCTGTGTCTGCTGCCGCTGGTGTTGCCTCGACTGACGCTGGGTTTGAGACGAGGCCTCGGGCTGCTGCTGCTGTGGTTTGTGGGACAGGTGAGATGAATATTCCTCGTCTTGTGTTTCTAACAGCGCGAGTCTGTGGTTTGGGCAGCTGTCTGTCGTGTTCGCAGGCGCTGTGGCTGTCGCCGGCGTATTATCTGGAGTTCGAGGGCTGGAACACTTTCGCTCTCATCTGGATCGCCGGGCTGCTGTTTCTGCTCATAAACTCTCTCATACTGGGACAAATAATCTCCCATTACAGACCCGCAGAAGCCCTGCTGAAGAAGACCGACTGACAGACGCCTGTGAGAAAACTCCACCTGAACATGATCACTTCACATGTTATGGCAACTTGAATAATACTCACGTGCAATGATCACATGTGAAGATATGTACAAGAGTGTTTCTGCATGTCTCTGGAATATATTTTTCCTGCAGATCCTGGAGATGGACGAGCTGATTCAGATGACCACTAGATGTCGCCCTACAGCAGTTTTACAGATCTGATGTTGAACAAGCTGATAGGATTTTAAACACTTTAAACACAAACTACATTTTAGACGGAGTCTCAACTTTTACTGGACTTACATTTCAGACGTGTAAATGCTTTGCGATGGTGATAACGAGTGTTTGTGTCCATGCAGAAATGATCATGAGTGTGAACAAACATGTTTATGAACGATATCTACACGTACAGGTGTGAGTGAAGAGACAAGCTCCGCCCACCAGACGATGTCGGCACCAATAGGAGTGAGTGTTGAGTGGCGGTGGGCGGGGCATCTGATGCGGCAGGGTTATATCATCCTGATGAAGTGTGAGCTCTGATGAATAATTCTTCTGGATTGATGATTTAATCCCAGCTCCACCTCACTACAGCTGAAGCAGATCAGGGTTAAACTGGATTAAATCATCTCCACCTGCTGGGACTAGTTGGGTCTCTCTCTGTGTTTGCTTCATTACAGCAGAACCCTGATTTAAGCTTTAAAAATCTTCTGTTGTCACACAATGTTCTGGTAAACATTTTCCCCAAAAATACTGGCCTCTGCAGATCTGTTTATGTCTGACAAATTCACTGTTATTACTCACACACTAATTAAAGTGTTCAAAAGGAGAATGTGAATCACAAGTGGAAATATTTCTGCCGCTATTCATAGCAAGACACTACAATAGTACATATGCGTGGACTTTTTGTCATACAAGATTTTTATTTTTATAAAAGTAATAAATATAACAGGAAGACCCACATTTGAGTTGCTGCTTTGCATCACTGTATCTTCTGTTAATATTTATTGCCCATATTGAATGCCAGAGGCAAAACGTCATGTTAAAACCCTTCCTGAAAAAGTGCAAAAGGTCATTAAACAATAAATACAAATTATTGCTAGAAATGAACCTTCCAGAAACAGCTCATTAATCACCAGGAAGCCAAGCGTGTCACGAGGACATTACATCTCGCAGGGTTTCTAGCCCCAATAGTGCAAGTGCAGCATTATTATTTATTAATACTTTACTATTTATTGATACATTTAAACAGTAGTTTTATATAAAGTCTTCAGAAACTTCAGAGCATGCTCTATTAAACACTCATCAGTGCTGAAGCGAATTTAACATCACAATGTTTAAGAGCCTAAATATTTGACTTTTATTGAATATGTTTTATTACTGGTCTGCTTCAACATATTAGTTTGTTTTGTCACGTCTTGTCTGTTTAGTGAGATATAAGAAGATTTGTGTCGTTGATCCGGCTGATATCTGAACACAAACTTCAGATGAAATCCTTCCATTTTTAAACCTTTAAATACTTCATAAACATGCAGATGAAATGCTTTAATTAAACAACTGCTGAAAGTAAACCAGTGATAATGATGATGTATTATTAGACTCTCAGCAAATCCTGAACCTTCAAATCAATCTTTGTCTTTTACTATTTCAAATGAAATAAACAGAATCATTTCAGATTATTGTCATTTTTTTCTGTTCTCATTTTTATGTTAGTAATTTTTACTTGTCCATTTTCAACAAACAGAGAAAATGAGAAAGAAATATTAGCCTGACTACACAAAAGTGCATAGAAGAACATAATGAAAGCCCACCAAAGAAAATCTAACCCAGACGCTGAACCTGACAAAAAACTTCACTGCAGTAAATTTTCTTAGTATTTTTGTCGTTTTTCAGTACAAAAATGAAACATTCTTGACTCAAGACACAAGCAAAAATGGCTTGTTTTCTGAAAAAATGAATCTAAATGAGTGACCTAAAGCTTGAAAAAAAACCGAACAAATATCTGTCAATGAGCTCAGACAACAACAACAAAATAGTTCAAAGGAAAAACAGATAGTTGTTCTTGTAAACTCAATTTTGAACACTTTTTCAGAAATCAAGATTTCATATGTGACCCTGGACCATAAAACCAGTCATAAGGGTCAATTAAGGGTCAAGATTAATGCATCATCTGAAAGCTGAATAAATAATCTTTCCATTGATGTATGGTTTGTTAGGATAGGACAATATTTGAAAATCTGGAATCTGAGGGTGCAAAAAAAATCTAAATATTGAGAAAATCATCTTTAAAGTTGTTCAAATGAAGTTCTTAGTAATGCATATTACTAATCAAACATTAAGTTTTGATATATTTACTGTAGGACATTTACAAAATATCTTCATGGAACATGATCTTTACTTAATATCCTAATAATTTTTGGCATAAAAGAGAAATGTATAATTGTGATCCATACAATGTATTGTTGGCTATTGCTACAAATATCCCCCAGCGACTTAACACTGCTTTTGTGCTCCAGGGACACATATATCAAGTCATTTTGCATCTCCAGTAAATGTATCTGGATTTAAGGATGTTTGGATATTTGTGCTGAAAAACAAGGCAGAAATCCTGAGGAAGAACATCATGTTTTGCAGTGTTGTGTGTTTGTGTGTGTGCCAGCAACAAGATGATTGTGGGTTTGAAACGCAGCACATGAGTGTCCAGATTCAAACTGAATAAATGGCAGAATGAAAGTGAAGCGCTACTGCATGAAGACGCACGGGTTGATCTTGGCACAGCTCGTGTTGTTCCTCTGGCCGGTGCTGTGGATGTCGTGCCACAGCGGAGCGTCGACGGGCTCCTGTTTGATGCAGTGAAGCAGCCCGTGACCTCTGACCTCGTAACCCGTTTTGTAGTCGTGCTGTACGTACCCTCTGTAGTCAGCAGCGTAGGCGTCCACACACTGAGAGTTCACTGCTTCTCTGTTCAGGACGCACTTGAGCGGTCGTGCCCCGCCGTAAGCGTTAGAGGTATAATGACTGCTGTACGTCGTTCCCTTCAGCCTCTGGCAGGAGGAGTACTGCTCGCCGTATCCACCCTCCGCTTTCATCTGCGTGCCGTTCGGGAAACGCTCGAGATCCATCCAGGGACGTCCGCAGCCGTTCTCCGCGTCTGAGTCTTGCTCCAGCTTTATGAGCGGCTCGATCATCACGTGTGTGTCGTATCCCTCGCCGGGATCTTCGTAGCAGAAGTTCTCGCTCTTGATGCTGTCTGTGCTGTAGTCGTCGTGCGCGGCGCTCCCGTACGCCTCAGCTCTGTTACTGTAATATCCAGGGGCCGATCGATACGGTTTACCGTAGTGCGTGTGTTTGCAGAGCCGAGCGCCGGAGCTTCTCACGGGCCACGTGCCGCAGTCCAGGTTCTGACCGCTCGACCTGCAGAAGTTCAGAGGCTCGTCTGGATCGTAGGGACCTTCGTTCCTGTACTTGACGTTGTCTTCGCTCATATGTGGCCTCAGAAGCGCGAGAGGTCTGAGAGGATCGTCTCTGTCACTGCCGAGACAAACACACACAGACTCATGAATCAGCACTAACCGTTCCCATAACTCTCCATCATGCCTGAATCTGTGCAATATTAGTCTGAAAATATAGTAATGCAAAGAATGTAATTCTCCAAACTATAGATAGTCTCATGAAGGGCTGTTTTTGAACTGCACAAGCAGGAAAGAATCTGCTCTTACTTGTGATCTAACGAGGTGAGAACGCCGAGGTTCCTGTGTTTGCCCTTCATCACGCCGCTCTTCATCTTCATCTCGGTGATGGAGGGCAGGAGCAGAGGCACAACGACACAGAACAGCGCCAGCTGAGGACGCAGGAGCGCTCCGGACGCCGTCTTCTTCCTCTGACCCTGAAGGAACTTCAGTCTTCCCTGAAACTGCATCGTCTGGAAGCACAAACAAGATCAAGCGTCTTCTCTCTGTTCTTAAAGGGTTAGTTCACCCAAAAATTAAAATTAGCTTGTTTTACTCACCCTCAAGCCATCCTAGGTGTACATGACGTTCTTCTTTCAGACGAATCCAGTCAGAGTTATATAAAAAATTGTCTTTGATCTTTCAAGCTGTTTAATGCCACTCAGCGGGTGTTGCATGCTTCAGTCCAAAAGAAGTTCAATAAAAAGCGCCCATCCATAAAACAAAATCGTCTCACATGGCTCCGGGGGGTGAACAAAGGCCTTCTGTAGCGAATCGATGCATTTTTGTAAGAAAAATATCCATATTCAGAACATAATAATCACTTGAATCTAGCTTGCGCCAGCAGTTGTTCACAGAAGCAGCTCCGGGAGCATGACGTATGAGGTAAGCGCTGCGCATGCGCCGGTGAGTCTCGTGAAAACCAACGTTTGTTAACAGGAGCAAAGGAAGCAAAGTTTCCTTACTTTAGCAAAGCAAAACCAGTCTCCTCTTGGCTTATATCCAAATCCTCCGACATTCTTCTTTACAAATCCTCGTTTTGTCCTTCTAATTAGTGACCGTTGTTTTGTTTTAATCTCTCCGCTGTGCTTCCGCGTTCGTTACTTCTGAGCGGCGCATGCGCAGCGCTGACCTCATACGTCATCCGCCGGAGCTGCTTCTGTGTACAACAGTGAGCGCAAGCTAGATTCAAGTGATTATTACGTTCTGAATATGGATATTTTTCTTATAAAAACACATCGATTCGCTACAGAAGGCCTTTGTTCACCCCCCGGAGCCGTGTGAGACCATTTTGTTTTATGGATGGGCGCTTTTTATTGAACTTCTTTTGGACTGCAACACCCGCTGAGTGGCATTAAACAGCTTGAAAGATCAAAGACAATTTTTTATATAACTCCGACTAGATTCGTCTGAAAGAAGAACGTCATGTACACCTAGGATGACTTGAGGGTGAGTAATTTATGGACTAATTTTCATTTTTGGGTGAACTAACCCTTTAAAGTTGTCAGTGATTATGTACGGTAACATCTTCAGGACATTAACGTCAAGAGCAGCTGTCTAACCCTGTTCATGTGCAGCAAACACAGTCTTTCCTGAAGCACACAAAGCCAAATCACACCCTGAGATCTCAAACTCGAACTGAAACCATGAAGCCGGTCTGGAATTATTTCTCTGTGGAATGTATTTACGGAAAAATGTGCACTGTGCACTGAAAGCTGAAGGAATCCCTCACCAGGAATCCGGAGGTGCTGTCCAGTAAGCAGCGGAAGCGCAGGATAAAGCAGCGGTTTAGGAAGCAGGAGAACTCTGGAGGAACGTCGCCCGTCTCAGACTGAAACAAACTGCTGACCACAAGATCTTCACCTACAGAACAGACACCAGTGTTACACAGCGAGTGTGAGTCTGGAGTGTGTGTGTTATATGCGGCTGAAGTCACACCCGAGCCGCTTTGAGCCGAAGGGTTCATGGCCCAGTGCAGCTGCCGTCTGAACTCCTGCCGGTCGTCCACGTGAATGTAGTCGAACACGTTCTGATGCATCACATCCGTCTGAGGAGAGAGAGAGAGAGAGACAGAGAGAGACGAAGGGTTAATACAGGTGTTTACAAATGGCACGCGTGACCCTTCGGCGACTGGACAGGATCAGAATCAAGCCAAATCTGTCACAAATATTCCTTACAAGACAAGAAACTGTAGTTTGCAATATTGTATTAAAAGTTATAAAATGACAAAAATAAAATGACTTTTATTTTTACTTATACCTATCGTAAATATGAAGTTTGGACTTATTGAAATATTAATAATACTTAAGATTATATAATTATATAATATATAATTACTATATATATATATATATATATTAGGGATGCACGATATATCGGCCACCATATCGGTATCGGCCCATATCGGCTCATTTTTTCTGTTATCGGTATCGGCCTGATAAGAAAATTTGGCCGATATCTTAAAGCCGATAAATAATGCATTATTTCCTTCAGAGACACTTCAGATGCGCGCTGTTCGTTTGCAGCCTTTTGTGCAATTGTACGTTGTAATATTGTGTTTATTTGATGTATATCTGATTTATCTCATATAGAATGCGTTTGGTTAAGAGAGTGTGTGTGCGCATGTGTGAGAGAGTGAGTGAGTGAGTGTGTGTGTGTGTGTGTGTGTGTGAGAGTGAGTGTGTGTGTGAGTGAGTGAGTGAGTGAGTGTATGTGTGTGTGTGTGTGTGTGTGTGTGTGTGTGAACCATTGGCCTCTCGCATGGAATCTGTAGCTTTATTGTGGTCAGACTGCTCAGATTCCTGGATGTCTGTCTAAAGCCACGGGTCATTATGTGTTAAACGTCGCGTGACACTGAAGCGCACCAGACCCCAGCTCTCCCAAAATAAGCCTGCATGTGTAATTCTTCCTCTGCTTTGCTTTTGTCAGAAATTACAGATTCTTTCTGTAATACTGGAGCCTGACCTGTATTTTCCATACGACAGGCACGCAAAGCTCTCTGAACATTTGCCTTGTAAAGCAGCAGTTCCGTATGACTGACCGCGTGAGCCGCCTGCTAAAAGCAGAAAATAACCTGGTGTTTCTGACACAAAAGTCATTGTTCTTCAGAGGATAACTGACACAGAGACGCTCGCGCTGTCGTCTGAGAGAGTTACGGTAGTGGTGCTCCTCAAAACTCACACAGATTTACCACAACAACCTGCGATTCAGACACACACTCACACTTGTTCACACACACACACACACACACACACACACACACTCACTCTCTCTCTCTCTCTTACCAGGACTAACGTTTCCCTGTAAGTGTCTGAAGTGTGTGTCAGGTGTTGGTCAGTGATGCTCACCTGGTGGAAGCCCAGATAGTCGACTATGGTGGAGGAGGCGTAGAAGACCATCCCATCACTGCTGACGACCAGCGCAAAACCTGCTAAAGACTGAACACAACAAACACTCGTCACTGACTGACCTGTGCGGTTAGGACTGTAACAAATATGTATCTGTGCATTTATCCATCCATCCATCCATTCATTCATTCATTTATTCAATCAGTCAGTCAGTGTGTAAAGGTTATTTCTGATATGAAGAAGTCAAACTCCTGCTAGTATGATGGGTTTTTTAAGCCGTTTTGTGGCTGTATTTACTGTTGACTATCTGTGCTTCATGATCTTCATGGAAATCAGCACCTGCTGCTCAGAGCAGATCTGAGGTTAACAACAGAGACTTTACTCAGAAATTCAGCTCTGAAAGCGGATCATGAAAACTCTCTTTCTCTCTCTGTTGACATCCTGATGGCTTTTCCTCCTTTCTCACATTGTCACACAGACTTCAAAGGCACATCAAAAAGGTCACGAAAGAAACCCATTCAGAAAATTTCCACGGAAGCAGAGAGAAGGAGAATCTGGAATATAACTCTCCTCTGGGATCAGTCTGTGATTCCTCAAGTCACGCAACACATTGTGCTGCTCAGCGCGAGTCTCTGGAGCTCAGCGCTGCCTCGCGCTCGTCTGCTGTTAAGATGCTGCCGTCTGGTTTTTGTGAACTGTTCAAAACTAGTCACTCAACCTACTAGTTAAAACCAACTGTTCTAGTTCAACAGAATCAATGACACAGTTACTATCATCATCAGTGCACGTGTACATACAGACACACACACACACGGTATCTTTTAGTGAGGACATTTAGTTCTAACAAGTAGAAGTACACATACACATACACACTCTCTCTCTCACACACACACACACACACACACTCTCTCTCTCTCTCACACACACACCCACACACACTCACTCACACACACAGACACGCACTCTCTCTCTCTCTCACACACACACACACACACACACACACTCTCACTCACACTCACACAGACACACACACTCTCTCTCTCTCACACACACACACACACACACACACAC